CCATTTCTGAAGAAGAAATTCAGTCAGCTGTGCAACATCCATTAGCAAAGTGGAATTTGTTGACAATCTTCAGTTAAGGATATCACAGAGATGCTCAATTGGAGAAAGGTCAGGTGAATCAGTTGGTCACATCAGTCCTTGATCCCGTATTGCTGAATAAAGTCATACACCATACAAGCTAGGTGAGTTCGAGCGTTATCATCTTGGAGGTTGGTATCACCACCCATGACCTTCATAGCAGGCTAAACAATTGATATCAGCATTTCCTTCTGGTAGCTTGGACCGATTAAGTTGCCTTGGATGATCTAGAGTGGGGTCCAGTCGGCCTGTAGAACTTTCCCAGACCATGACAGAACCCCTACCAAAACGATCAACCTCTTGGCTTGTTGCATCGGTAAATCGCTCTCCTGATGCTTTCCAAACTCGAATCCTGTCATCATTGATGACACAGTAAAGCGAGAGGACTTGAATCCATTGTTGCCCTGTCCATTGCATGTGCTTATGACACCTAGCAACACGAGCTCTGCTTTAAACAGTAATAAGAGCGATGCTGACTGCAGGATGTCTAGCAGCCAGTCGATATTCGTGTAAATTTCAGTGAATAGTGCTTTTACTGACATTAAGAGGTGCCTGTCTTCATGTCTGCTTGTGCATTTAGGGTGACCTGGCCAGTAAAGATCCTCCACACTTTCTATGGTCTGCATTGTCTCTAAAATTCTTTGGATAATAAAGTGTGGCACTGCAAACATCTAGCATCTTCACGGATAGATAAATCACTTTCAGCCCATGATGTGCCCCTCATTCTTTGTAAGCTGTCAAGACTTTTTCTCTCGATGGCATGGTTTTTGCAAGGGATGAAACATCCCCAAGTCTGTTGATTGTTAAACAAATTAACATTGAACCCAATTCAAGCACAGTAATCATTGCACAGGGAATGTCAATTGTCACAATTACTGTATCTGTTTATTTGCAAGGAAGTTTAAAAACAAAAAAGATTCAGAATGTGAATTTATGGTCAGCAAACTAAATTGCAGGTGATCACCATGGCCGTCGAAGAGTTCGTTCTCATGCTTTACATGCATAGAAGACTATCAAAGGAAAAGTAATGCACACATTTTTACTTTAAAAAAATCTTACTTTATGTAATCAGTATGTACGCTTATATAAAAGTGTACTGAAAATAATGAGGTGGCCCTTGACTTTTGACGAGTAGTACACATCATTTCTTCCATGCCATGATTTAAAAATGTTAAATATCTCCTGTCTTGGTATCGATTGTCTTATTTTTTTTTCTTTCTGTTCTTGCTGTTGCTAATCACTATTTACTACAAGTTTTCCATTTTCTTGTCACAGAACATTGCGAGTTCATAGTACCCATCCACTGTCCATACCTTCCTTTAAACTGGCCTTGGATCATGAATCAACCGCACCTAAAATGGTTGCCGAGTAAAGTCCTAGGAAGTAAACGGCCAGCTTGATGTTGGCCACATCACCTTTTTTAGTGTTGCATGGTCTATAAAATATAGGTCTAGTACTATAAGCTAGATGCACCAAGGGCATAAAAATGACCTATTGCTTTTTTTATTTTTTTTTTATTTTTAGTTTTCTTCTTTTGTTTATTTTACTTATGCCCCCACTACACTGAGCAAAATATATTCCCTCATATCTTATTTCCCAGGTCGACCCAGCCTTGAGTGGGTACCGGGTGCAGTCCCGGGAAGTAAAGGCGGACGGCGTGATGCTGACCACATCACCCATCTTGTGCTGATTGGTCTATAAAATACAGGTCTAGCCCTATATGCCCTATACGCCTAAAGGTGTGGAAGAGGGTCCTTTACTTTACTTACTTTTACTTATCTCATTGGTTCTCCACAGCATTCTGTTTGCAGACATTTGCGGGTTTACGGCCTTGTCATCCACATGTACAGCCCAGGAACTGGTGCAGCTGTTGAATGAGCTTTATGCCAGATTCGACACCCTGGCAACTGAGAACCACTGTCTGCGGATCAAGCTGCTGGGGGACTGTTACTACTGCGTTAGTGGCATGCCAGAGCCCAGACGGGACCATGCTCATTGTGCAGTAGAAATGGGCCTAGACATGGTGGAGGCCATTGCGTGAGTAGATTGCTTGGATAATAGGCATGTTGATGGGTGAATTAATTAATGGGATCTCTGTGATAAAAGGGAGTCATGGTAGTATCGTGGTTAAACACTTGCCTGCAGGCCCAAAGATCTTAGGTTTGAAGCTTTTTTTCTCCACAATTGACCTTAGCTGTCAGATCGTCTGAATCCAATGAGTACCAGATAATAAAGTCTTGGAAAATAAAGGTGACCGGTATTATGTTGACCACATCACCAACTGAGTGCCACTTTGTCTATAGAAAGTCATGTTTACCCTCATATTTTCTACTTCTCATTCTTCTTCTTCCTCATTTTCTTTTTTTTTCCTTCTTCTTCTTTTTCTCCCCTCCTCCTCCTCCTCCTCTAATGATGTAATGCCTTTCAGCCTCACATTTTGAAGAGGCATCGACTGAGATCTATGGTATGCTGCATACATGCTGGTATTTACAGACTCAGATATTCCATCTATCTATCGCTGTGTGGTCAACCTCTGGCTCTGCTTCTATTATGTATAAGCAAGGCCGTTTATGCTGCACTGTCTAGTGGTAGACTTGATGAATGTCCAAACCATTTCATATGTTGCCTCTTGATGTAATTTAAAACTGGTTCCATCCCAGCTTCTTTCCTGATATCATCGCTTGTGATCCTGTCTTTTCAAGTTGCATTTAGGATTCACCATAGACATTTAATTCCTCTTGTTTTGATATGCTCAGTGCATATGGACCAAGCGTCCTTTATTTTTAATTTTTTCTCCCCTTTACTTTGGCAAAAGAGTCAGGCTGCTTACCTTGAACTAGGAAAATTGTGGGTTCATGTTTTAGACTGCCTTGTTTAGGTCATGAGGGGGAAGGTGGGGGAGGAGGGTCCCCTGGTCATCGCTAGAGCCACAGGTCTCAACTTTGTGCAGTGCCTCTGCAGGTAGCTCTAGTCACTCTGTAGAGTAAGACCATCATGCCAGATAAGATTGAACACTCTGGAATTTAGTCAGTTCTTTCATCTTTAATTAAATTTTGTAAATCACATTAGTGAATTCATGACTAATAAGACAAAGTGATAGAGCAGAATAAAGTAATAAGAAGAAGAGAAGGATGAAGACTAAAAAGAGGTAAGAGAAAGAAGAATATTTATATAATTTGTATCTCAGATTTCCGACTGTGTAATAAATGGTATATTGGATAAATTCATGAAAACCCACTTGTTATACAGAGGTGCAGTTAGAGGCTAGACTAAGTAACAAAGCCATATTGCTTCTAAAAGTAAAAGTGTAAATAATGCCATGGGAGATATTGCAACAGTGATGTAGAATCATACAACTTTGCAGATATTATGTAATAGCATTATCACATGCATTAACTAACCGGTTTTTATTTCATTGTCTTTCTTTCCCATAGAAAATGTATAGTGAGACCATTCTGTCCTCAGCTAAGGGTGAGCCAAACCACCTTTGCTGTTAGGTCAGTATAGTGAGGTCATGCATACTATCTAATGTCATTGCATCCTCTTGACTCTTTCAGGCTGGTCCGAGAGTTAACTGGAGTTAATGTTAACATGAGAGTAGGCATCCATTCTGGGAGAGTTCACTGTGGCGTGCTAGGATTGTACAAATGGCAATATGATGTCTGGTCCAATGATGTCACTTTAGCCAACCATATGGAGAGTGGAGGACTGCCTGGGTAAGCAAGCAATAGGTCTGTGTCTGTCCAAATAGGCATGAGGTTGGCTCTGATATCAAGTCTATATGTTTCATGATGCTTATTAGATTCTCAGGTCAGTGGGTGGCGTGTGCAGATACAGACCCACTGCATTACTGTCACGCATGTTGTAAAAGATGACTGAGTAGGGATTTCTTCAAAGTCTTAGCGCATCTGCCTGAGAGGCGAGTAACCAGCAGTCTGCATGCAAATAAGCAGATTTGTCAAAAGGATATGCATGCATAATTCAAGTTCTGGAACAAGCTCAAGGTCTGGAAGTGGACGAACAGCCAGAACTTATTGCCGGAGTTTACATCCGATGAAAGCTCAGAAGAAGATTTACAGACAATAAGGATGTTTTTGCCATGTTAGCAAGAGAAATAAAATTGAAAGCTTAAGGATGATGGCAAACTAGATAAGAAAAAAAAACAAGATGAAGACAAATAATTTTTTGTATTATTCTTGTTTGTGAATGAATTCAGTTGTTTATGTGAGGCAGATAAGATATGAAACTTTTCAAGTGGTTTTTAAAAGGCAGTAGTATAACCATTTGTAAAACTCTTATTAGACAAGTCAAAAAAAAATAGAACTATCTTGGAACGGTCATCAAATCTAATACGCCTTGCAGAAATTAGAACAAGAATTGCCATGGCAAAAGTACCCTTTCGCAATATGCAAAATAAACCAATAAGATTATGCCAACTGCAGTGAGAAAAAAAGAGAGTTGAAGTATTGCATAGAATCTATGTTGTTATATGCATGTGAGACATGGACAGTATGCAGGAAGCTGGAAAAAAAAACATTTGCTCGTGGCAGAGATGTGGTTTCTGAGAAGAATGCAAAGAACATTATAGAGTGACAAAAAAGATAGAAAAATTAATTGGGTCATAAACTTATTAGAACAGTTAGACGTAGACTGTCAGTGTGTTTGGGACATGTTATTAGAAAGAATAGACTTGAGAATTTGATAACAGCTGGCAAGATTGGTGGAAAGAGAGCAAGAGGAAGGCAAAGAGATTAATATCTGGATGGTTTGGCCACACGGATGGGGCGAGACAAAAACATTTACCTATCTGATCCATGATTCTGGTGATCATGTGAGAGGATGAAACATGACAGCCTACTTTTACCAGCACTGGACATGATGATGATGACAAACATAACCATTAATGTAATTATTTCATTTAGCCATGTCCACATCAGCAGTGCGACTAAAGAATACCTGAATGGAGACTATGATCTTATCCCAGGCAATGGGCATGAAAGGGATTCCTATATTAAGGCACTGGGCATTCAAACATTCCTCATCTCAACCAGTACCAGGAGACACAAGGTGAGTATTTCCATACAGGAAATGCTAAAGTGATTAGGGAGAACCATCATCACAGCCCTTTAGACAGATCAAAAGGTGCCTTAGTCTCCTCCTCAGTGACTCCACAAGCATAAAGCAGACAATCTTGCCCTTCACTGTTAATTATTCAGACATCTTGTGCCCTTAGTAAAATTGTTCATGCCATTGACCAGCTGGACAGGAATACTGATTACTGCTTCCTATTGTAGCAATCTTTGTGATATACATATTGTATAGCATTATTGACATCACTCCTGTCCAGTGTCAGACCAGTCAGTATAAGTGCTTTCCCAATAGTAAAGTAGAACTAAGAAAGCCTAACTAAATTGTTTGTATACTTCTATCTGTATCTTCTTTATGCCACTGCATTTTGCAATAGTAAAGTACAACTAAGGAAGCTTCACAGAATTGTTTGTATATTTCTATCTGTATCTTCTTTATGCCACTGTTGACTTATCAGGCATTCACTACTTTCCTCTGTTGCTGCCGGTCTACCCCTTTTCTGCCCATGGTATCCCATGTCATTTATCTTTCTGCCGTGTCCTTTTCTATGTTTCCTTAGGTCACCCACTTCTTTTTATGTCTACCATCCACCTGATAGCTGTCCCATGCCCAGCTTCTGAGTTAAGTGCATGGTGTGACACTGTGAGCTGCGAATTTCATTTGGAATATTTTTCGACTGTGACACACATGGTGGTGCGAATTGTAGATTCAGAAAATGACGCAATATTGGTGGGCCATTATGTGATTAAAATTGATCGCGTGTGAAACTGCTGATCTGTTGGTTATTTCTGCTAGTCCTAGTGCTACCATCCATGATGAACTGCATTTTCAATGTCAGACCGTTTGTGTTAGCATTTTGGATGGCTACCGTATGCTTTTAATGCGTGTGTATGCTAGTGCATATGTTGAGACAGCAGTCTGTCAATCTTTCCACAAGGGACTGTGATAAACATTCTGTCTTTTTTTCGTTGGCATATGAGCGGAGCAACAATGGGGTGACCCGTTTGCTGTGAAGCTGAAACTAAGATTACCAGATGAGAGCTGTCCCTGTAAACGTATCATGTTGCATTTTGCAGACATGACCAAGCCATCTTTGTCTCCTTTCTTTGATAACATTTTACCAGTGATGAAAATTGTATTTTCCTTTACAGTTCTTTATGATTTTATTTGCCAATAATACATATTATGAAGGCATACAGTAATTATGTGTTTTGGTCATAACAGCGATTATATATTTGCATATAATTTATTTGTCCATTGCAAATTATTTTACATGTTTATTATTTTTATTTTTTTTTTCATTTTGAATATCTTTTAATCAGACTATACATAGTGAAATCTATTTTGCTCTCATTATTCATATTTTGTATTTCTTCTTCTTCTTTGTTTATCGGCTGTAAGCTCCGACGGAATGTCCTGGTTGTTCATCCATTAGGACTTTGGCTTTCTGCCAGGGCCAGAGTTTTGCGAGAACATCCGTTTTACCGACTTATTTGTGTGCAATTGGTTGTTTCTTGCTGCTTGAGCAAATGCACTCCGTCAAAGAAATCACCAGTTAGTCAAATCCTACGACATGCTTTCTGGGAGGCAGTGGGTCTATTTTTGTTTTCCCAACAGTGGGGCCCTGGAACTTAAATACTTAAATAAACATTCTTTGAGAATTGGAAAAGCTGTTATCTGTGTTTACATGTTAATGAAAGTGTGGGCATACTAACACAAATAACAACGGTACCTCTGTCACACATTTAAAAAGGAGTCTGAAAACAGGTATATTTTGCATTTAATTTTGATTAATTTCAGCTTACATTTTATTCTACTATACTTTCATCAGAAAATGTGGCTTATTTTGATTGTTATAGTGTGTAACATTGCTGTTACGATTTTGTAACTTAAATGAGAATATGACCCTTTACAAGCCGATAATGGTTACATTTTCTCCAGAGTTCAGTCTGTCCTGAGCTTTTTGCTGTAGGTAGCAATGAATATGACATGTATTGCTGTGCTTCTTATGTTTAGTCAAAACATGCATACCAGTCTTTACTCTCATTTCTGACATTCTTAGCAGTGATGCTGACACGCTGCTCCCAAAATCCTCCTATCATCCTCTCTAAGGGCATTAACAATATTGACGGGATCCATAAGTTGGCCATCTGCAGCTGATGCAGAATCAGCCATACTATCAACTCTTTCATTACTAACAACACCCACATTCCCTAGGACAAAGATATCTGGGAATTGTTTGGAAGAAAAGCTGATAAAAAAGGGAACTGGCTACACCACTTCATAAGTCATATCATAGAATATGTGCAGGCCTTATCCTTGAGAACCCCAACAACATTGTGTGCTGTTTGGACTACCTTCTTATGTCTTTTTTTTTTTCTTCTTCTGCATTAGCCCTTAAAATGATAGTTAGCATGGTGTGTTGTGGTTTACAGCTAGGCTGCAGTATCTGCACCTTAAGGCCCAACACATCTGCTTTCAGCAAACCCTTAATTAGCTTCCTGCTTGACATGCTTGTTTGGAAACCAGTTGGTCTGTTTTCTTTCCCCGATTTAAAATGGGGCCTCAGAACTCATTTGTGATGATTACATATAAAATAATGTCCAATGGTTATTTTGTGCTTGCCATTGTTAATTAATCACATAAAGTACAGAAACTTATTATTGCTGTAATGGTGTCTATCCATCCAGGCATTTGATAACACACGAGAGCATATCTCCACTGGTGCCCTGAAGCGGATGGGCATAGAGGAAAAGGGACAAGTGTAAGTTTCTTCAAATGATTTGACTTTTGTAAATTATATTAGTGTTTTCTGATACTAAGAGTTAATTATTTTATATAACTGAAATTTTGCAACATTGAGTAAATGTGTGAAATTAAATTTTAGTTGTGACTAATTCTGGTCTATTCTATAGTCCCTGTGTGTTGTTGTTTTACAGTGTTTACTGTTGATTGTTTGGTCAAGACTTTCCATTTGCAGTTATCAGATGTGCTGGATATGATATATTTATATGTCAGGTCCATCCAGTCGGCCAAATTGTTTATCCACGTCTTTCTTTGTTTGCCTCATCTCAACTTCCTTGTACTGAGCCATATAATAGGGTTTTACAGTGACTGATAGATCTTGTAAACATGACAGCTTATGCTTTTTTTTTTTTAAATCAGATTTATTGTCACTGATTGTCGTGAAATGATAGTCATTACACATCGGTTTGTAAGGCTGATAACCTGTCTTACCTGTAATCTGCACAAAATTCAAACTTGGACTCGCCCAGAAATATATAGTCCCTTATATCTATATATATAGGCCTGTATTGGACAACATTATTATGTCTGCCTTTTCTGGTTACTTTAACTAAAATCCACTTTTAAATGTATATCTTTTGGGGATATATTTAGGGAGTTAATTGAGGTTTCTTGGAAACCGATTTACTCCTTGCCCCAGTATACAAGGAACTTCTTTTGTACCAACGCCTGAAATGTCTAACTGACGCCATTCTCCTTGCCAGCTTCTCAAGCCTCCAGATGTGTTAATCTGTGCCTGTATACTTTAAATTTTCAAGGCAATCTGGAAAGATCTCAGTTTTACATATGCTTGGGATGTATATTTTCTGAAGAGCTGGCAGAAGATTCACAGTCTCAACAACATCCACCCACCAATCCAACCACCAGAACCAACTTGTTACCCACCAGCTAACACCTGTGAAGGTTCCTGACATCTCCAAAAATGGGGGAGATTGTGCCTCAAACAGCTACCAGTGCCAGAGCTTAATGTGGCTCAAAGACATTGTGTGTCCTTACTGGTAATAGAGACTTGCTAGATAACGATACAGTTGCTGTATAGTGAAGTACTCTTGCTACTTGATCCAGTGGAGCAGAAGTCCCAGAGTCAAAGACAGTCAAATCATCCGGAGCTGAGGGAGGCATCATAGACAGAGAAAAGAGAAGATAAGTCTAATGCTTCACATGATGTTGTGTTCCTCACAGCTCCCTGTGTCCAATGATGAGAAGATGTCACCTCCAGGACCGGCTGTCTGCCTAGTTTCCTTAGGATCTAGACATTAGTGCTGAAATTCTTTCACTGATAGCTGGAATTCACTTCAATTGTTTTTGTAACAGATATTATACTAAATACATGCATTCATTTTCATGGCTGACTTAGGTTTCTCTATGTCACCTTCTTAAGTGTTTAGCAGTTGTATGTGTATGTATCTTCATTAAATGTGTTAACATGGTTTGATAATGAACTATCATAACCTGGGGGCTTTCTTTAGTAAGTAGTGGGGGTGTCCAGCCAAGTGTGCCTAGAAATATTGTATTTATATACTGATATATTTTGTAGTGCCAATACTTGAGTTGCCCTACTCCAGAGATAAGTTGATCGTATATTGGCCACGGGGAATCCCTTAGACCAATACGAGCCAAACGACTCAACAAAATTATCTCTGAGTGCTGCTGGTTCTGAAGGAGAAATCCTTACATTAGGCACGCGACAGGAGTGATATGTGACACTGATGTATTGAGTAATTGTTTGTCAACTACTGAGGATAAATGCGTGTGTGCGTGCGTGCGTATGTGTGTGTGTATATATATATATATATATATATATATATATATATATATATATATATATATATATATATATATATATATATATATATATATATATATATTTAAATTACTTTAGTATCAAATTAGTTTTGCTGTATGAATCAGAAACATGGACACAACTAAAATAATTACTAATAAACAATAACAATTTATTAATTAATGCCTGTGCAGAATAGGACTAAAATGATGCAGTTGAATCAACAACATTAGTCCTAATAGTGCTCTTGACAGAGCTCATTAACTAATGTTACATCTCCCCCTGACACTTCGCTGAGGTACAAGGTGGAAGAGAGGAAGAAGAAGAAGAAGAAGAAGAAGAATCACCAACATGGAGCTCATGGTGTGAATTAGACACATTCTAGTGATTCAAGAGGTGAGGAAAGGATGCTGACACCGAAAAGAACACACATTGTGAAAACATCTTTAAACATTGTATTTTAGACTTGAGTCAGATCACAGAAACAAGACAGTCAGACTTTTTAATAACTGTCAATTACAGAATGTCTCTTGTGGGGCAATTACTTATTTATGGTAGTGTGTGCAATTTTAATTTACATTTTTATAATCTCAAAAATGTGTTGCCTATCTGTTTATTAATAATAGTTTGTGGTCGTCTTATTTTAATTGTTAACCTATTAGATAAATGTTATTATTTGTTGCTTCAGACACAAGGAGCTGCCTTTTGTCTTTTTGAAATTAGTTCTCTGCAGGAGAGTTGTGAAAAATATATGACAGCTTTAGAAAAGAGAATGAATGAGTCAAGAACTGACATTGCTGTACTCTAGGTGTTACCAAACCTGGTCCACCCCCCTTCCTCAGAAGCCAGCAAAGAGTTTCCATACTTATCCAGATAGTGCCAATTACAATTTGATTAAAAGTGCACTTCGTTTATTCCCCCCCCCCCCCCCCCTTTTAAGGGTAGACAATTATCTGGACCCTATGTTCTATCCAAATATTGATGATGTATTTATGTTCTGCTGCACTGTTTACTTGATCCCAGAGACCCTTCACAACATACAGCAAAGAATACAATAAACAAATAAAGAGCATTGTGGTGACAAGCCTTTATAAGCAGACAACAAGAACAAAAAAAATCTATTTTAATGCTAGAAACCAAAAAAGGAATGAAAGGTTGAACACAGTTTGCATGGAGGAAACAATGGTGTAAACGAGGGGATATATCAAGCAGAGGTCTGTACTACAACATCTTGGTGAGAGACAGACTGTGCTAGAGATTTATTGCAGCCAGGCTTTGTTTGTTTAAGTGGCAATTCCATCATAACTGTAGCCAAATGCTTCAGTCTAATTCATTAAATGAATTCATTAAGTAACCACTACACCTTATTTTGTTAACTGCAAAAAACTGCATGGCCTGTTATATTCATAAAGTATTTGCAGTGTGTGCACTGGACATGTTTTTCAGACCAGAAGAGTTCTGGTATTGACCCCAGTCTCATGATGTGGCATTTGAGATTTAATTTTTTTTTTTTTTTTAAATAATTATGTGGATATTGAATGGGGAAAAAAGATGCCTAGAAAGAAAACTGGTCACCCCCATGTCGTTATGTCATATTCTGGCATATGTGAAGGTGCAATGGTTTATACCTATGTAAAATGCCACAGAACTACCTTTACACCAGACTTATATTTGTAATGAAGCTTATATATGTATATATATATATAATATACAATTTCAGAGTCGAGAACAGAGACATAGACAGTGAAGTGAACGAATACTTGAGCAGGGCCATTGATGCCCGCAGCATTGACAGATTAAGGGCGGAGCATGCTACTGGCTTCTTTATGAAATTCCGCAAAAAACACCTGGAAGATAAAGTAGGTTTCATTGTTGTCAGTAATCATGTGTTTGTAAACATTTTCTCATACCTGTCCTATTGGATGCTTTAAAGGATTAGTGGGTGGTGGAATGCCCTCTAGATATAGAGGTTAGCCATAAATAGGTTTAATAAGCTGCCATGGATCAGCACAGCTGGTGATCATAGAGAGCAGGCAAGAAAGTTGGGGAGGCAATTATCAAAACTCTATGATGTAGGCACCACTGGCTAAGAGGAGCCATTTATATCACACCACCCCACCCCCTTTTTTGCTGCATAAGGTTCTGCTTTTTCTGGCAAAACCTGTTTGAATCAAATCATATGAAAGTTTATGAAAGGCTAATTGAAACTATCTTTGCATTTCTTCTGCTTCTTCTTCTGCTTCTTCTTCTTTTTCATTTCTCCCACATAAATTGTGCTTTACAACATACTGGATTTAGTTAATGACACTAATCCGGATTTCAACGAATTCACCTCATTTGTACTACGGATACCCAGTCATCATTTTGCTCCTGTATGCAATTTACCTGTTTAAAATACTTATTTATTAATGGAGTGTGAAAACACTTATAGAATATGAAAAACTTTGGAAACATCAAGATTGAAATGGAAAGAGTATCCCTATATTGGATGTTGGTAAACTGCAGTGAGGTGGAGAAAGGGGAGGGGGGTAATTAAACACCGCTTTTGTGGCCTTGGATAGTGGTCTCGTCATTTAAATTGCAGTCCTCCTCAGGCAGTCATTTGAAATCAATAAATAAATATGCTGTTTTTAAGAGGCAAGTTTGCAATGTCAGTAGTTTTTAGTTCTAGTTTTAGTTTCACTGAACTTCACACAGTATGCTTCTATTTTATAGCTAATAAACAAATAAATCAGTCCAGGCAACATCCATAAGCTCGAATATGCAGCAAAAGCAATAGGTAGTCGTTAGAGGAGCCAGTACTTACAGTGTAAAACTGTGCAGCGAGAAGTAGAAGTAGAACTTCACTCCAGTCATGCTAGAAATTCATTAAAGTCTTTTAACTTTCAAATGAAAGTTGTGAAAATCAGCTTCGTTGCACCAAGTTTTATCATGTTTGGCTTAGTCTGTCTCGGCAGAACGGCTAGAAATTCTGTACTATCGCTGTCTGTCTTCCAGAGAAAGATTAGACGATTATAGGACTCCTTTAAGATCTGTAGGCAGGCTATTATCAGAAAGCATTCTGCTTAGGCAAGGATCAAAACATCAAGGATGTCTGTAATTTTGTTTTGTCCACTTTTAAAGACATTTGTATTGTTATAATTTTGTTTTCCTTTAGATCTTAGTGTGTTGCTGCTTGTTTTTTAAATCAGTGCTGCAGGTGTTTGAAGTTTGCCACTGCCAGCAACTGGCAGCATATTATGGTAGTTGATAAGACATTCTGAGTTACTACAGCGTAATGTCTTGGGTTAGAATATGCATCAAGTCAGATTTTTTTTTTTTTCAAATGCTGGTTGGTCCAGCCTAAAACCTATGGTGCCATTTCAATGGTTTGAAATGAATTTTGTCCGTATTGCATAGTTGTGGATTTCAGGCTGTACGATAGACATGGCCAGTAAGACATCTTTTGGGGGGGGGGGGGGGGGGGGGGGGGGTGCCTAGTTGACCATGTTCTTTGTGCACTTGTATTCATGGCAAGGCGCGCACGCCGTCTGGAGGTGACAGGTTCAATTCCCGGCACGATAACTATAGCTTTCGATTTTTATGTTGTCTAGTGTGTTCTTTTATCTTTCTACTTCTTTCTATAAGTGCCGACCAATACACTTTCTGTTACTTGATTAATTCATAGCCTAAAATGGGTATGTTAATGTCTTTGGAAGGAAGGGCAGCAGGTGTGACATTGATCGCATCACTTGCCGAGTCGCGATTAATCTGTAATATATGAAGTGCTAAATAAAACACAAAATATGACTAGAAAGCTCAACACACACAAACACAATCGAACATTTTGAATCAAAGTCTTTTTCAACAGAGTACTAAGTGCAGCACAAACTGTGACTAGAAAACTCAACAGACAAAACAACAGAGCTAATTACAAAAAACCATGAACTAGGCTTGTGTTGTGAAATTAAATTTAGAAATATGGCAACGCAGAATCTAAAAACAAATTAACAGGATGGCGACATGACATGAGCAGGAGCAGGCCCAGTTGATTTATGTCATCATTATAATATATGAGTCTAGCATAATTTGTGTGATGAGCTACTGAGGTAAAAGGATCCTTAACTGTTTTATTTTCTTTAAATTGGGTAAAGAAAGGTTATAATCCATTAACAATGAACAGTATAAAACTAAAAAATGTCTTACAGACAGGGTAATACAAAATCATAGTTCATCAGAATTTAAAAATGTAAAACTGACAGATCATACAGAGGTAGTATGTTGAAGAAGAAGGATTTTAGATTCCCAAATGACATTTTCTGGGGGTAATTACAAATTGGTAGAAGATTTTGGGTCAGCTTCTACTACGATATAAACATGCAAACAGGACATGAATTATTTGTTTGGTTGAATTGATGGGAAGTGGATGCTCTGGATTGTGTTGTGTGGTAGGCGGGGGAGGGTGGAATTTAGGAAGGAAGTAGGAAAAAAAGGCAACAACAACAGAAAACAAAAACAAAATAATCTCAAACATTTGATTCAGTGTGTGACAATCTATCAACAGTTAACAATATACAGCTGGCAAGTTTGATACATTGTGTGACTCTGTGGCTTAGCGGCCAGTGGAATTGTTTCACATGGCAATACTTGATGTTTACCAGGGTTTGTATACACACTGTTGGCTCCTTGCCTCTCAGGCAGACTTACTCCAACTTCAAAGGATACCACCCACTCAGTTGACTCCTACAGCATGCTTGTTGGGAAGACATTGGGTCTATTCTTGTTATCCCCACAGTGAAGCCCGACAACCCACACCGGGGTTTAATTCGCAAAGTGAGTGGTTTAGAAAATGGATGCTCCCATGGTGAGAAAGTCGCACCATGGGAAAGATTGGACCTTCACCACATAATGTTCCCATAGTTAGTAGTGGATTTATTACCGCCAACCTGCATTGTGGATACCGCACAATTTTCTAAACTTTTTTTTAAAGTTGGATTTAGGTAGTATATATTAAGAACAAATAATTTAACATTTGATAGAATAAAATGTGACACCGGGAAGGCTAACCCAGGCAAGAAATGCCTGCAAAAGCTAAATCTGTGAGCCAAAAGTTGCAAACATTGCAGTCATGTTGTAAACAGGAATAACACATTTACACCTTCAGATGAATGCAGAAGAGAAAAAAGAAGAAATTTGACAAAATTTGTCCATCTTTATCATGTATTAAAACCTGACATTTTTTGGTATTTCCACAGTTTTCTGTAAAACCTGACCTCATGTTTTCAGACCACATTCTCTGTCAGCTAATTATAATAACAGTTTTGACAGTCTCAGAATTAATTTTTTTAGACAGGTAAGAATTTTTATATAATTGTTTTTTTATTATAATTAACCCATTGAGTACCAAGCAACTCGCCATGTGTTTGTCTACTTTTGGTCCAGCAGGTCTACAGTGGCTTACTTTAATGTTCGTAGACAATGAAGAAACGTCATGAAGAGCCACAGATTGACCCCATAGAAGATGGAATGCAGAAATATCAGATTTTGAAAAGTACTTTGTACAAAGCGAACAGAAGGGCCTGTTCCAGAGATCTCTTCCTGCCTGATGCCTCAAGGCATTCCAGGTGTAGAGAAAAGAAGAAGAAGAAGCTCCACTTTTTTCAATCTTGTGACCAATCCAGTTATTAAAATGTAGAGTAAGTGTAGGACCCTTTACTGTGCCTTCAGGCGTATTGTATATATTACCTCCCCTTCCCCCCCCCCCCTTTCCCACACATACACAAAAGCAAGCATGAAATAAATGGCAACTAATTAGGGTTTTACTAGAATTGAATGTGTTGAGCTGAAAGGGTTAGATATTGTAGCCTAGCTGTAAACCACAACACAGAAGTGCTGACCACTCTTTTAAGGGTTAATGCAGAAGAAGAATATAATGTATTTGTCCATGTATAATACAGTTTGTTTTCCCAAACTTCTAAAATTTAACATTTCGGGAGGGGGAGGGGGGTTGCTTTATACACAGAATGATGTGGTACACTTTCAGAGACGTTTCTGGTATCTTTGGAAACATTTAATTTTGAATAAAATCAATCCTTCATGGAGATTTGAACCCATGATTATCATTTTGATAGATGCGTATACTAACCATAAAGACATAATGGTTCTTTATGGTTACATAAGTTGATATCTTGGGCTTTTATAAGCATTACAGGATATAACAGTATGTTGGCTTTGCTCTACCTCCAGCTTCAAATTGAGATAGAAACTCAGGCTTTGATGCAGCCAAAAAGGTTCCAGAGTTTCTTTAGAAAAGAAAGGTAGTTGATCATTGTATATCATTAATGCTGTATCTTTGCATCTTATTGTTAGTGTTTATAATAAAAATTATGTTTTGATTGTGTGATACAAAAAAAATTACGTTAACATTTTCACTAGATGGCCAAACTAAACCATGAAGATTGTCTGAGTTTATTCATCTCTATGCTTGTCTTCAAAGATTTTCCTCTTATTCTTATTCACGTTTTTGATCCTCCTGTCAGAAAACTTATGTCAGGAAGCCGTTAGCCTTTATGAAAGTTATTGTGCAGTCCAAATCTCCATGCATACCATACTGCTTTGTCTTCATTGATGTTGGAATAGGCCAGATTGCTGTCCATTAGCAGCATACAGTTTACAGTGTTGAAGCATGTGCTCAGCATTTTCTGGTGCCACGTTGCAGGGACACAGAGATGAAATACAGCTATTCACTGAAACTAAAAAGCAGTTCCATAGACATATTGGTTTCCTGACAGCCACCTTGACTTCCCAAAACATTTTCTAGTACTTGTTTTTAGGCTGAGCCAACTCAGAACAATGAGGATTCAAAACTGTGATCAAAGGCCTGGCAGGTGAATGTACTAGCACTTTATCACTGTGGCACTGTTATTTAAATTAGCAGATACATTATTTATTTATGTGACAGTGGTGTTAACAGAAGCGTGTTTCATTTGTTAATCACAGTATTTTAAAAGTTGCTTGAGATTAAGGGGAAAACAATTTATCTTTTGTTTCTCTTCAGGCATTTGCAGCTTCTTGTGGTTTTACCCCTGCTGGTAACTTTGGAACTGATCTTGTTTCTTATCTGCTGTTGTGGCTTTGTGCCTGTAAGTACTTTTTCAAGTACATGTACTTATTTATGTTAATATTATGAAAATACAATATTCTCACATCTTGTTACCCATTTTGCTTTTGTGCATTTATCAGAATTTTTGCTGCTGATGCATAAAATAAACAGGTGATCTGATTTCAAGAAATAAAATATGCATTGCTATGGATAGTCATTCATTCAGTAGCATGTCCCTCGCGGAACCTCGCTGCCATAACAACCCTCCGGAAAACCTTCCTATCATGAGCAAGATGTCCTGCGTCTGATACACCCATCTGGAGATCATCTGCCACATCCTGCACCCATCTTCTCCTTGGCCTTCCTCTTCCTCTCTTCCCAGGCATATACCCCTCCATTATTGTTCTCTCTAGACCTCCATGACGTTTCAAGTGACCAAAATATTTCAATTTTCTTTGTTTTATTGTCTTTACTAGCCAACCCTCTTCAATATTCAGCTCTTGAAGTATGGATGCATTTGTTCTTTTCTTTACCCAAGATATTCTTAGAACCTGTCTGTAACATTTATATTCAAATGCATTTATGCGCTGTTCCGCTTGTTTAGTAAGTGTCCAGGTCTCACAGGCGTATGTTGCAATGGGAAAGATGCATGCTCTTAAAAATCTGACCTTTGTAATTCTATCTGTACAATTCCATAATTTATTCAGTTGTTTTAGTCTTTGAAGAGCAATTGATAGTCGCCGTTTAATTTCTTTCATTGTGTCCCCATTGTTGGTAACCAGTGACCCAAGATATTCGAAATTTTCCACCACTTCCAATCTTTCCTCATTAACATATATTTCCTTCTCCATGGCATTGTTTGTATGCATTATCTTTGTTTTTGCTGTGTTAAGAAATAAGTTATGATTTTCACTATTTCTTTGGAGTGAGGTTAATAAGTTTTCTAAACCATTTTGTGATGTTGATAGTAATACTGTATCATCAGCATAACGAATTTCTGGTATTTCATGACCACCGATGTTTAGGGCATCATATTGTTCCTTGTTTATATCATCTCTTACATTTCTCATTATATTTTCGGCGTACAGGTTGAACAAATACGGTGACAGCACACATCCCTGACGGACTCCTTGCTTGATGCCAAACCAGTCTGATGTCTCTCCATCTATTCTGACTGCTGCTTGTTGGTCTTGATAGAGCATTCATGATTGTTATGGGTTCTTGGCAAAATTTGCAGAAGGTAGTTTGCCGTTGCTTTCCTCCTGAGCAGTGACTATACTAGTCGGTGGCCATAGCCATTGTCTCTACTGATGAGATCATCTGCCTATCGCCGCAGAGTGCAGACCATAACCAACAATACCTGTCGGCTGCTCTTACACTCCATCCACCACCTGCTTCCATGGCTTCACGTAACCCTGATTGGGGGGCTAAACGGGTACTCCACCTTGCCCAAGGGTGTCCCGTAGACTAGCGGAGGAAAGGAGGCGTCTTACTTCTCCTTTGATAGGGGATACCCCTACCCCGCTAACCATCTATGGATAGTAAGAAGCAATAATAGAATTAATAATATATTTAAATCTACACTAACTGCTGACATAGTGTGGGGGAGTCGACTGCAATGGTTGTGGTATACAGAGACAATGGCAGATAGCAGAAGAGTTAAAATGGGAGTAGAGCAGAGGCAGACTAAGAAGAGGGTGGTGACTAAAAATACTTGGAGCCAACTGGAAAGAGGTGGCCATTCCCAGAGATGAATGGAGGCAGGTGATACATCTTTTGGACTTGGAATGTTGAAGTAGGAAAAGAAGAAATATTAACATGTGATGTGTTATTTCTTTGTTGGCAGACAGACCTATCACTATGCTGTTGTTCCAATGTTTTGTATGTTTGATACACATATAGTAAATATTTACACATCTCTTCTATCACTGCACACATATAGAAGAATAAATAATCAATTGCAGCATAAAAAAGTACAAACTATATTTAACATTACTATCATCAAGTGACTTGCAGACTGATTTTATGTGATGATGTTTCTCCACAACCCATGATCTCTAATATAAATTATCTGTTAAAAAAATTCAATTCTTTCCATTGCTTAAAATTAAACCTGAATTGCATTTTGGCAGGCAAATATTGAAATTATCATGTTCTCAAAAGAGCATGAAGAAAAGCCATATGATCCTTTGTCCACTTTCCCACCAGAGAGCATCACAAACATTAAATGTAGTATTGCATTTATCAGATTTTTTATGTTTTGTTTTGTATTTTTTTCATCCATTAGTGCTTGCCACTCCATATGAGACTAGCTGTTAACACTTTTTTTGGACGGCGATTGTTTACCCAGTGTATTTTAGCTGCTTCCACCTGTGTTGCATTCTTGGCTGTCTTATTGCCAATGGTAAGAAGCATTTGTAAATATGTCTGGTTATATTTATTGCATTTTGATATCAAAATAATATGCAGTAACATGGTGTTCATTTTACCAGTTGTTATTTAATTATCTTGTGACTGACATATCTGACCTGACTTCTCTAAGCATTTGCTGACCACGTTAGCCATTCTAGGCCATCAAGAGGCTCTGTACCAATCCTGGTTTCAGACAGTAAACAGGAAATTAAACTCTGTGGGTACTAAATAGGATCTCCAATGAATAGCAGATTTTCTGGTGAAAATACTTTATATCGCCATGCATATGATGTGCTTATTTTCCATAAATATAGGGTCTAAAAACAGTTTGCTTATTATACAATGGTAGTAGATTTTTACCGGATGAATTTTTAGAAAATACTCCGTACAAGGCCTCATTTGGAAATGCCAGTTAAGTGGCTACATAAAATGGAGAAATAATTAAAAGTGTTTTCCTAGTGTAATAGTTTTTGCGCCTGTCTTCGTGATCATTGTTTCGCACTATTATTATTAGGTGACTTTAGGCTACTTTTAGCCCCTGAATGCCTCAGAAAATATTGTTTCGCATTGCTGAATTTAAGTTAAAAATGATTTGGTCTGCAAAAGTGAATAGAAATGTTGTTGCTAAACGTAAATTTGGATCTCCTGCAACTGAGCAAATAATCCGAGACTGGCGACAGGAAGAAGAAACCCTATTGTAGATGCCATGGAAGAAGGCCATGAGAGGCTAGTTAGCAAAAAAGGCCTGATTTGGATCTGGGGATGTATACAGTAAGTCTTCATCAGACAAAGACGAGGACAAGCTTAAGGTACTATTGTATGGAGGAGAGTTTTAGACAGTAATGAGAACTTTTATGGAGTCTGTGATGAATAAAATGTGAGTTCAATAACTGTCTGTAATTATATTATTATTTTTGTGTGTGGACAATTTCCAGTGACAAAATTAAGGTGTGTCGTATACATAGGATCTTCTTATACTTCGGGGAATACAATGGATGCTGTAATTTTTGTCTGGATTAAAATTAGTGTGGACACAGAATTGTTGTGCGGTCTTCACAGAGTAGGTTGGCTACAGTGTATTTGTGCATTTGCTGCTCTCTTTTGAAATACTCGTAATTTATCCAAATTTTTTCCATGGTCGACCCTTGCTTGACTGTCTGATAGCCATGAGACTGATCTTTAGAATAAGTATGTTATTACTATATAATAATATTTTTTTTACAATTTCTTGCCAGCTTTATTTAGCAACTCCAGACCTCGAATCATGCTTGACAGAAAAGTATGGCAATTTCTCTCGGAGGACAGTTCAGCTTGCAAACATTACTCTTAATTCCAAAAGGACAATTTGCAACCCATCTTTGAGCACCAGTTTTTTCCCAGAGGTAAATATATTTTTGTCAGCTGAATTCCCCCCCCCCCCCCCCAATCCCCCAATTCCCACCATGTTGTCTCACTATCACAGAAGTGTGGCCTTATTTTTTGTCTGTGGGTGGTTTTCTTGCATACATAGTTGCTTGTTTGTAGTGGATTACTTGCATTCACACATATAACTTCATAAGTGCCTCAGTCCCATCCCACAGATCTCTTTCTCTCTGTTCTCACTCTCTCTCTCTCTCTCTCTCTCTCTCTCTCTCTCTCTCTCTCTCTCTCTCTCTCTCTCTCTCTCTCTCTCTCTCTCTCTCTCTCTCTCTCTCTCTCTCTCTCTCTCTCTCTCTCTCTCTCTCTCTCTCTCTCTCTCTCTCTCTCTCTCTCTACCCTTAATCTCCCATTGGTGTATAGGCGTATAGGCCCTGAACCAACTTAGGTCAATTTGTCCTATCATTTACTATCACATGCAGTTCATTCCAAGTCTTCTTTCCTAACTTGATTTCATATTTACATATATTTTTGACTTTTTTCATGTGCTTCTTACACAAGTAAATTGTATTTTCTTAATCTCTGCAGAATTTCTTATTAGGTGTTGTGGTGGTGATGCTGAGTACATCTGTGTATCTGGAATCAACGAGTTTAGCCAAGCTGATACTGACCCTCTTCATTGCTGTAGTGTTTTTGTTGCTTATACAATTGCAGTATGTAAACCTCTTCATTAACAGGGACTACATTATTATGTTTGAACATGGGTGAGTTGGATATGGATCTCTTGTTTTATTTTTGTTTTGTGTTAAAGTTCCATTCCCAGCTACTGAGTTGAGTGCATGGTGCGACTGTGAGCTACAGATTTGTTTAGAATGATTGTTGGCTGTCCCAATGTGGTTTTTGTTGTGAACTGTAGATTAAGAAAATAGTATGTGGCCTGTTGTCACAGAACTGGTTGTGCCTTATGCAATCAGTTGCGTGTGCAACTACTGATCTTTGTAATATTGGTAATCTTAGTTTCAGCTTCATAGCAAACAAGTCACCCCATAGTTGCTCCGCTCCTGTGCCAACGAAAAAACACCAGAATGTTCGTCGCAGTCCCTTGTAGAAAGATTGACAGACTGCTGTCTCAGCACATGCACTAGCATACACACGCATTAAAAGCATACGGTAGCCATCAGAAGTGCTAACACATACAGTTTTACATTAGAAATGCAGTTCAACATAGACGGTAGCAGTTGCGCACACGATCAATATTAATCACATAAGGGCACCACCAATATTGTGGCGACAGGCCACGCGCAATTTTCTGAATCTACAGTTCCAAATGAAATCCGCAGCTCACAGGGTCACGCCATGCACTCAAGCGATCTTTGTAAGCAATCTTTGTAACTGCTGCTTCAGTCAACTATAAACTGCATTTCTAGTGTCAGACTTTTTCTTTTAGCACTTCTCATGGCTGCCTTATGCATTCAGTGCATGAGTATGATTTTGGTTTTGGTGAGACTGCAATCTGTAAGTGTATCAGGTAAAGAGGCTAATGAATATTATTGTCCTTTCTCGACGTACCCAGTTTGATTCTGTGGAGGCTAATTTAGAAAGGAAAAAAAAACAGTTCTCATGTCTTCTTCTTCTTCTTAGCTTTCACTGCCTGTAAATGTTGGCAAAATTTTCTGGCTTTTCATCCACTTCTGGACTTCAGTCTTGTTCCAGAACTTGAATTGTGCGTGCAAATCCATTTTACTGATCTGGCTTACTTGTATGCAGACTGTTGGTACCTTGCAGCTCAGGGAGATGCACTCTGACTTTGAAGGAAAAATCCAGAGTTAGTTGCATTTTGTGACATGCTTGTTAGGGAGGCTGAGGTCTATTATTATTTTTCTCTCCCATAATGGGGCCCTGGAACCTGCACAGAGATTGGACATTGTGAAAGTCAAATCGTAGAACAGACTGGGGCATCATCACATAATATTACCAAAGGAAAGCAGCAGATGTACACATATCCACTGCAACCACCTCCATTGCAAAGACAGTGCATCATTTCTGTTTCCACATTCTTTATAATCTAAACTACAACATCTTATGCAGGTGGTCTGTGCAATGTGCTCTGCTAGGGGTGTGCTTTTGCATGCCACATTGCTGTATGACGAACACTTAGTTGCTACGACACAGCAGAGATGAATGTTCAGTTATATACCTTTATTCGCTGAATCAGAACATATCACAGGCAGCACATTCTTTTCGTCCACGTGTTCGTTATGCCCGGCTGATTTTCTGACGGCCTGGTCAATTCTCTCGCGCACTGCTTTGATCCATCCGCATCTCTCGAATCACACATACATCCTCGAGTAAAGCCTTTTTTCTGGTATTAGTACATGTAGGAAACATTCATATCTTCTCTCGAAACATTACAAGCGTTCACAATTTCTCCATTCTCCTCAGGTGTTCGCTCACATACGACCTCTCGCAACCAGGTCCGAACTTCAACTGTCTTACTACCGTCTCTTGGTTTACGTCTTCTGTTCCAGTCTCATGCTTTTCTTGTATCCCTTATTTCGCTCACCATGGGATACTCGAGACACACACTTTTCTCTTGTATCACTGGTCCTTTGACCTTGTCCTCCCCATTGGGAACTCTCTGGGATTTCCCCGGTAATTCACAACATTACAGTCTGTTATTCTTTACAGTTCCTACCCAGTACCCCCAGACTGTGTCTGCGCAAACGTCTAGTAGGATAGGAAATGACTTAATTTCATAAAAGCAGTATTTAATGAGGTCTCCATTTTTAAAAACCACTCAATTTATACAAATTCTTACATCACATTTTTCACTTGGCTACAAAGGTTACTGGGTGTCCATGTAACAAGGTCAAGTAAGTGTTATTAGTTTTATATGAGATGTATGCCAGTTGATCATGTGCTGCATTTGTTTTTAATTCATTACTTCTCTTACTCTGTATAGTATTTGTTTGTTCTTTGAATGATGATTTGATTTTATGGCCCTTTTTTGTGTGTATTGGTAACATATACAGTTGTTTTTTTCTTACTAAGAATTTTTTTCTTTGTGAATATCCTTAACATTTTTTTTAAGCATTAATAAACATTTTAAATATGCCTACTCACCCTTCATTTTGCACTTTACTTAAATTGTTTACTGATGTAATAATCGATTTTTGAAGCAGTTTGATTTGGTGATTGTTTATTTAATTGTTTGTTGCCAGATTCTTAGAGTAAGTTATAATCTTATTGAATTATATCTGTAATGATGGTTACTTGTTTGGCATATTGTTGTGACTAATGTGATAACAGTAGACATCTATACCAGCACTTTATTGTTTCTTTTAGGAGTGACCCTTCATCATCTGCACCTTGGATCCCTTTGAAGTGGGAAGCTATTTTCATTATTGCTGTCACAACCATCATCTTGTTTTTGCATGCACAGCAAGTTGAATCCACAGCCAGACTGGACTTTATATGGAAAATTCAGGTACGTCTTCAGCAAGACTTTTGTTTCTTGTGGACCTTTTTAAGCCACTAATTAACAATACATATATGTGAGTAAACTTCATCTGCTTCTTTTTCTTTGTTCACCCTTAAAATGGCGGTCAATAAATTGTCTTGTGGTTTACAGCTAGGCTGTGACATCTGCTTATTTCAGCCCTATGCGTCCAATTTCATAAACCTCAAATTAGTCACCTTTTTAGGGGCAGTGGGTCTGTGAGGAGGTTGTTTTTCAGGAAATCTTGCTATAAATCTGTAAACAGCCATCGGTGTGTATTGACCACTATTTCAAAACACTTTTCGACAAAAAAAACAAAGAAAAAAACTATGCGCATTTCAGTAGGATTTATTCAGTCTTGTGCTTTACTTTTTTTTATGTTGATGTAACTCTGTAGTAACGCACCTGATGAGATACAGGAAAATTTGCCTGGCAATCAATTGTGCAATGTATTATTGTTTGTGTCCTCATTATTTAAAGAAAAAAATGTTTCTTCCATTGATCACACCATTTTGTTTTGAATGCAAAGAGTTACTCCAGCAGATGACAGCCATTGAATGCATATTGCTTCCCATTTGGCTGTGAAGCAAATGTTTTTGATGACATCATTTAAGTCTTTTTGCAAACTTGTTCTACATGCAAAGTGTACTGAGACTTTAAAAACACCCTGTGTATTGCTACAACAGAATGATAAAGATAATCATCATCATGTTGGGACATATTTGTGCTGTGATGGTAAACTCAATTTCTTGATCAAATGCAACTCAGTAGGCAAGGGTATATGGTCAGTATCACACTAGTTACCTTCTCATAGAGTTTTCAGGTACTGATTTCACTCTTGTTGGTCTAGGAGCCCAGATGAGTGCCAACACAAGGAAAACATTAGGGCTCGGCCACTTTACAATTTGGGGGAAAGGGGGGGGGGGGGGGAGAGTCTAAGCCTTATGCGGAATGGAAAATATTAACAAAATTAATTTATTTAAAATTAATATTGAAATGACTAAACAAATACTTAACAAAGAACTTCTGTATTTCGTTTTGGGAATCATTTGTTTAACTCTTTTAAACATTTTCTAGAGGGGCGTAAGCTTCTAGCACCCCTAGAGCCAAGATCAATGACAGGAAAAACAACCTATCTCAAGTTACATTCAAGGTCATGACCGCCAAGCCACGGTGTATGTGGGTGCACCAGTCTATTATTATTTACCCATAAAACATATGTCCTGGTCTTAAAGTTTGCTTTTAAAAAGATAAGAGTAAAATATTTCTCCATTAATGAAAAAAACTTGTGTTCATATCAACAGACATTCACTTGCAGTGCTGATTATACACAGTTAACATGTCTGATTTATTGTACAGGTTTTATGACTTGATCCAGACTAAACAGTTAAAAGCCAAAAGGGTAGAGTATTCTGGTAGCACTGTGTTGCAAAACTCATAACTCATTGATACTGATACTGCTTAATCACGTGGTACTTTGCATCGTGTTTGCATGACACTCACATAGAGAGAGATAAGACTGGTTTTCCTGAAATACATCATCATGCATTATCCGTCTGCCCTCCAGAGAGTCAAAAACAACATGCCATTCTCCCTCTGCATGGACACTTTATTTACAGTGACTTAGCGATTTTATGGGCTGTTTTCCCAGACATTTGGGTTTCTGATATTTACCAAAATTAGATGATTAAAACTAACATTACAGTGGCAACACAATTCTAGTTCCAGACAATGATATCTAGTCAGTAATGGGTCATGTAAGTTATCAATATCATTTTGAATTGTGAGCCATCTTATTACTTTAGTGGGTAATGGAATTGGTATAGAAATCTTGACATTATGATTGAGATTGTGAATTGTAAATGCTTGTCTGGGTGTCTATGTATATAAGTATGTGCCTGCATATATATGTGTGTGTTTACATATATAAGTGTGTGTTTACATATATAAGTGTGTGTTTACATATATGTATGTGCATCTGCATACAAGTGTATGTAATGTACTATGTATGTATATATCTCTGTGTGTCTGCCTATCTGTATGTGTAATGTAGTGTGTGTGTGTAAATATCTCTGTGTGTCTGCCTATATGTATGTGTAATGTAGTGTGTGTGTGTGTAAATATCTCTGTGTGTCTGCCTATATGTATGTGTAATGTAGTGTATGTTTACACATGTGTGTGTCTACATATTTGGAGGTAATGTAGTATATGTGTACAGTTGTTGTGTGACTACCTATATAAATACATAATATAGTGTGTCTGTATACTTGTTTATGCCTGCCTATGTGTGTGTATGACCAGACTTGTGACAGTTATGATCCGCTCAAAATTGGTGGCAACCCTATTCCGGAACACCGCTACGCAGACACAGTCCTCCTTTTGAACAGCGTAAAGGGAATAGAAATTTTAATATTGTCTGTCCAAAAGCACAGTGAAGATCAAAATCTGTTCTTGAATTTAAAGAAAACGAAAATAATGTCCACAGATAAAACTGGCTGTCACCCAAAAATAACAATAAATGATGAAGAAATTGAAAATGTCACAAACTTTGAATATCTAGGCTCTATAATAAACAACAATGGAGACTGTTCGACAGAAATTAAAAGGAGCATGGCCATAGCAATGCAAAGATTGAACAGCCTTAAAAGTCTATGGTTAAGCACCAGCAAAGGAGATAAAAATTAGAATTTTGAGAGCATGCGTCTTCCCTGTGGCTACATACGGATGTGAGTCGTGGACTATTTCTCAGTCCTTAAGAAAGAGAATAGGGGCTTTTGAGCTGAAATGCTATAGAAAGATTCTCAGAATATCTTGGACAAAGAAGATGAGAAATATTGACATCTTAAAAGATATGAACATCAAGGAAGATTGGCTAATAAACAGCATCCTTTCTCAAAAGCTGAAATATTTTGGTCATATCAAGCGCCACAACGGATTGGAAAAAATTATAGCAGAAGGCATGGTACCAGGAAGGAGGGGCAGAGGCCGACCGACACGAAGATGGGCACATGATATAAGTGACTCCTTGAGTGTGAAAGTTCATGAGGTGGGGAAACTGGCAAGAGACCGAGTTTCTTACAGGCATACTGTGATGAGAGCGACGTTCTGCAAAGGACCTGCTATATGATGATGATGTGTGTGTAATGTAGTATATATGTACGCTTGTGTGTGCCTACACATATATGTGTGTAATGTATGTACCTACATATATGTGTGTCCAAGGTGGTATGTGTGTGTACTGTGTGCATGCCTATTTATATGTGTCCTTATAAAAAATCTATCTTTAATGACTGTTATTGACTATGTTTTAGGTGTAGAACATATATGTATGTCTACATATATGTGTGTATAATGTAGTTTGTGTGTACTTATGCATGTCTACATTGAATGTGTAGTATGTGTGTGCGTGAGTTTATTGACTGCATAAGCCAGTTTTTAACCCTTAAAGTAAAAAGAATGCCTAGTGTTTCACTTCATGACTGTTTGAAGTCTAGGATACATACAAGAATGATCTGAAAGCTGGTTTTTGAAGCATGTGCCTGTTGGGACTGTAATACTAACAGACCTGCTTTATGAGTCTGGAATGAATTTAACATAGTTGTAATTGAACTGTTTCATCTCTGATTCTTTTACTCATTTTAATCAGTCAAAAGTATACTGGCATGTATAGGACAAATATATACATGTTAAGTGCATGGGAAAGATACAAATTAGAATTATCATTTCTTTGTACATGATAATTTTTTTAACCATATTCATTTCATTTTACATTTTCTTTTTTGTAACCAGACAATCTACTACTCTTTCCTTTGTTTCTTCTTGCATCGATTAATGAAACAGCTTTCTGGGACCAAAACTGTTTAACTGTATTTCATTCATAACTGTATCTTCTTCTTTTTCTTCTTGGCATGCAAGGGGCTATAAACTCTTGCAGAACGTTCTGGTTTTGTCAGTTCAAAAGCTTCTGATATTTGTTTCAGTTATTGAGTAAGACCACACGACTCACAACCATAAGTTGCCATGGAAAAGAGGCATGATCTCAAAATGTTTACTCAAACTCACTTGCAGGCGCTCTGCCATAGGTTCTTCATGCTATTTATATTTAGTCTCTGCATAATTAAAATGTCTTTCACTTACTTTTTCTGATATATATATTAAATAGTCTGATATAAATGCAGAAATCCTAGCATTGTAGAAACGTTTTAACTGTATTAGTTGGTCCTTTAAATAACGCTAATATATGAGTTTGGGGTATTTACCTCTTTTATGTGGTACTTGTTTGTTTTTTGTGTCTGTTGTGCTTTAATTTCATCATTGTCATTACCATCTTTATCATTTAGAGCCTTTAATTTTTTTTTTTTTTTTTTAGTTGTCACACCCATTACAAATCATTTCTAAAAATGTTTCCACATAGGCTCAAGAAGAGAAAGAACAAATGGAAAGTCTCAGGGATTACAACCTCAAGCTGCTTTCAAACATTTTACCTTTGCATGTGGCAAAGCACTTTCTAAAAGTGACGGATTACACGGTATGCCAACATTTAGTTTTTGCATATATAATCCTAACTTTTTAGTATAAATACTTTGTTAACATCTTCTGATGGGCACTGAGCACTTATGTGGTTGAACAAGTGTGTTGACATGGGTTTTTGATACATATATCTTGGTTTGGGAAGTTGCCATGGTATGGTGGCTAGAAGCCCGCCTGCGGATCGGAAGGTCATTTGTTCGGGTCCTGACGGTGGCCAGACTTTTTTTCAAAACTGACCTTGGCTCCCAGTTCTACCCAGCCTTAACTCTTTAAGTCCCAAGTAACGCATCATACGTTTATAGGTTCCTGCCTAGAAGCCCAATGAATGCATAATGCGCTGATTTTATGACTTTCTTAACTACCCCCTGGGACTCAAAGAGTTAAGTGCGTACCAAGTGCAGTCCCAGAAGTAAAGGTGGCCGGCCGGATGCTGACCACATCAGTCAATAAGTAACTCACAAATGGTTATGGTATGGCAGGAATATGTAGTTGGTGGTTTCTAATGGTGTCATTAGGTGATAGCAGCATGAAACTTTGTCTCCCTTCCTCAGGTAGCGCTAGGTGCATACATTTACAACACAGAGGCAAACAGTGACTGTACTTACGGAGTGCACCCTCAAAGAACAACGTGTTGTTGTGTGTTATTTTTTTGCAAAAAGGGCTGCCTGCAAAGAACATTAATAAGGAACTGTCTCCTGTTCATGCTGTAATGAAGTGGTGCATAGCTGGGTAAAAAATATTTTTAAGGATTCTGTAAAATTGTTGATGATCTGGTTGTCCTGTTGAGATTGCAACAGATGCCTCTGTGCAACAGTTGGAGGAGATGATTAGTGGTTACAGGCAAGTAATGGTTGACTCTGTAGCAGCAGCAATAGAGTGCTCCTATGGTTCAGCATACAACATAATGCAAGGTGGCTACCCAGACAATTGACGGACAGACACAAAATTAACCAATTAGGCCTGTCCTCGCAGCATCTCTGTTGATACACAGATGAAGGAGAAGACATGCTGAACAGGATTATTAATGGGGACGAATCATGGGTGCATCACTAGCAGCCCAAATCAAAATGGGCTTCATTGCAATGGAAACATCCTTCTTCCCCTTGTGGTAAAAATATTCAAGGTTATGCCATCAGAAGGACAGGTTATGCTGACTGTTCTGTGATTGTCAAGGAGGGTTTTTAACCAATTTTTAAAAACAAAAAAAAAAAAAAAAAACGTGACAATGTGAATGCGGATTCATACTGTAAAGTTCTATCGATGCTTCATGGGGCAGTTGGAAGAAAACGTCTAGGCCTCTTGACTAGAGGAGTGCTGCTCCTTCATGAGAATGCCAGACCACATACGGCTCAGTTAACTCAGGAGAAAATTATCCCTCTAGGGTAGGAACTTCTGGAACATCCACCTTACAGCCCAGACTTAGCCTCTAGCGGTTTCCATCTTTTTGGTCCACGAAAAACCCAACTTGGCAGGAGACATTTTGCAAATGACACAGAAGTTGATTGTGAAGTGAAAATATGGTTTAAAAAACAGCACACACTTCTATATAGCAGGTTTGGGAGGATTGATTAAACGATGGGACCAGTTCAATGTTGGGTAGAAATTATGTTCAAAAATAAAGGGACAGTGTTTGTGTAAAAATAAAATTTTTTCATGTCTTTATCATCTTTATTGTTGAAATTTTTTTTGTTTCCAACTTTTTGGCTTTGCCTTGTATATCTAATTGTTTACAGCAGTAACAACTGAATTATGGCTATACTCTGTTTAAAAAATGGAGTTTATTCATAAAAAAAAAAAAAAACTCAGGTAAAATAATTATTAATTTTGGAAAATATTTATTTTAGTATTTTTGTGAAATTGGTAGTTGCTTGCCTGAGATTTTAAAGATATTTTCTCCCTTCTCCTTCTTCTTAGCGTTCAATGTCTGTAAACTCCTTGAAATTTAACAAATATTGTTTTTTTCTCCCTCCTCCTTTTTCTTAGCATTCACTGTTTGTAAACTCCTTGAGATTTAAAAGATGTTTTTTTTCTCCCTCCTTTTTCTTAGCATTAACTGTCTGTAAACTCCTTGAGATTTAAATGATGTTTTTTTTTCCCCTCCTTCTTCTTCCTAGCATTCACTGTCTGTAAATTCCTTGAGATTTGAAAGATGTTTTTTTTTCTTACTTCTTCTTTTTCTTAGCATTCACTGTCTGTAAACTCCTTTTAAAAAGATGTTTTTTTTTCCCTTCCTTCCTGCTTCTTCTTCTTAGCGTTCACTGTCTGTATACTAATTGAGATTTAAAAGATGTTGCTTTTTTTTCTCCCTCATGTTTTTTTTTTTTTTTTAATGTTTACCATCTGTAAACTCTGACAGAAAGTGTTCATTGTTCGTTCACCTCTGGACAAGTCTTAGTTCCAGAACTTGAGTTTTGTGTGAACATTCATTTTACAGATGTTGTTTCATCCCCTCTCAGAACACTGCAGCCTGACTTTGAAGGAAACACTCCTAATTAGTTGACTTTTGTGACATGCTTGTCAGGGTGCAGGGAGGAGCAGTAGGTCTTTTCTGCCCCCCCCCCTCTTACACCCCCCCCCCCCCCCATTATGGGGCCCTGGAACCCACACAGGGACAAGGATATGAAAAGTGTTTAAATGTAAGAGAAATTACTGTATTGTGCCAGGTTTTATACCATATGGTTTGTGGCTCTATGCTTGCTGAGAGCGCATCACATAAGGCATGAACTCTATCACTCCAGCAACATACGAAACCCCCCCCCCCCCCCCTCCCCCCAACCTTCAGAGCTTGATAGAAATGGCTGAATCATTTTTCCATATTAACAAATTGTATTTAAACAGGTGTTATACTGATACTCTCTGTTTCAGGACCTCTACTATGAGGACATTAATAATGTGGGAGTGATGTTTGCTTCTATAGTCAACTTTGCAGAGTTTTACACAGAGCTTGAAGCTAATAATGAGGGAGTGGAATGTCTCAGATTGCTCAATGAAATTATTGCTGATTTTGACACAGTAAGGCTTCCTATCTCTTAGTAACTTTGGTTTAGTATTTTTCCTTTATCTCTACCCCTCTCTTTCCTATTTTTATACCTCTTTTTTTTCTCTCTCATTACTATTCTCTTTTTCTTTGTCTCTCACTTGTCCTTCCATCTTTTTTTTAATTTTTTTTATTTTATTATTGCTGGGAAATTGTTGCTGATTTGAGCAAGGAATTCCTCCCCCCCCCCTTTCTCTCTCTCTCTCTCTCTCTCTCTCTCTCTCTCTCTCTCTCTCTCTCTCTCTCTTTCTCTTTCTTTCTTTCTTTCTTTTTTGCTCTGTCTTACCTCTTATCATAGTTTTACCCCAACCTAAGTGTTAGAATTTCATTGATGCTATGGTTTGAGTCACCCGATACTGTTTTTTTTTTTTTTTTTTAGTTTCAGGCCCCACAAAATGTATTCCACCTAATGCTTCATTCATTCTGTGTTTCCTGATTACTTCCTTAATATATTTCGAGACAACAAATATCAAGCAGATAAATAATTTTATTTTTTTTATTAATTAGTGATATGTATCAAATAATTAGGGAGGTTATTTTAAGGACCAAAATGCTAAATATATTTAACTAATGAAAATTATTGGTTTTGTGTTTTATGTTTGATTGTTTGTTTATTTTCATGTCTTTCAATGCTTCTGATAGAAAATTCTTTCACTGCCTGAATGATGTACATATACTGTCCAGCGATAAATATGTCATCTTTCATTTCAGCTGTTATCAAACAAAAGATTCTCCTGTGTTGAGAAAATTAAAACAGTTGGCCAGACATACATGTGCGCCTCAGGTTTGACCAGTCGTACAAACTTTACAGACATGACCCACATTCTCGCCCTCGCTGACTACACCTTTGCCTTGCAGAAACAGCTGCATTACATCAACGAGAACTCTTTTAACAACTTCCTGCTTAGGATAGGTATTGATGTTTACTTATGTGGCATTTGATTTCTTATGTTTGTGTGTTTACCTAGATGAGGTAAGAACTACATGTGAAATGTGCTGTCTCCACAAGGTCACTAATAACACAAGAAGGGATAGGGTTATCAATACCAGCATTAACGAGATAGCTGAAATAAGACGGTGTCTGAATTATATTAGTTAAAGGATTTGGTCATTTAATGAGAATGCTGTCAGACCAAACTGCTTATCAGATTATCTGGAAGATCTGGGAGGAAGAGGAGGGGAGGACCAAGAAAGCAATGGATAAATGGTGTAGGTGGAACTTGCAGAAAGATAAACAAGTCCATAACCCAAGCCCCCTGAGAAGCGCAAGACAAATACAGAAAACCTTGACACTGGGCTGAAACCTTGTTTCACTGAGATGACAGATGAAAGATATTTCCCTGTATCTTATCAGCTGTGATGACAAATAAAGAAAGAAGTGTGTTTAATATGTTTTGGAAGTTAACTGTGATAGTGGCAGGGTTCTGCCATGTTTGGTAGAACCTTTGGGCTCTTTTTCCTTCATAATGTTTCGATAAGTAAATTAGCCAGAAAGAAGTAAGGCCAAAGACAATTATAGCTTTAAAGGTTTGAAAATTAGTGCACCTATGTGTATTAATTAAATGCAAAATAATCAGAAGAATATTGCAAGCTATCATCTGGTGTTTATACACTGATCAGTGGTAACATTCTTCTTCTTATAGTTCATAGCATGTTGGATTGGTTGTCATGTTTATCCACAACCTTCTACCTCGTGTACTTCTGGTCAGTGCTGATGCAGATGAGCTTCCATGCCATGATGTCCATAGGTGTTCAGATCCTCCCCTCACTGTGAACCCCAGCATCCAATTGTTAATAGCATCAGTTCTGTGTTGATTAACAAGTCCTCTGATGTGCCTAGTGTGTGTTTTGATTTTTGCTAGGTCGATCTTAACTCCCAAGTCTATCATTCTGGTGAGTGATGTGGATTCACTGCCCCCAAAGTCCTCCACCTTTCCCATTTCTTGGAGGGTATAAATAATATTAGCATGATCCATAGGTTGATAGTCAGTAGTGATAGTGGATCCAGCCAATCTATCAGCTCTTTCATTTCCATCGACGCCTATGTCACATGGAACAAAAATAAAGGTGACTCCACACACAGTGGACTTCTATAATAATTAGAGCCATTGCCTCCCCATTGAACCTGCCTGAACCCTCCGGATCATACACACTGAATCACTGAGTCTGAGTACACATGCACGGCTGTAGTTTTGTGTTTCAAGCCATGCGAACGCTTGCGATACTGCCATCACCTTCATCCTCATACTGCTGGTTGTTATGGAGAAGGCACCATTGGCTTCTTTGACTGTTCTGCCCGCTGAGCGTACTGTGAAGGCCCATGCGCTTCTTTGTTGGCATATAACAGATCCATCTGTGTAGGTCAGCACATCTGCCTCATCTAAATTTTCACTGATGAGAGCATTAACCACTGCATTGACAGCAGCAGGATTCTGCTCCCTGCATCGCCTGTTGAATATGGCAATAGAGGTAAAACAGTTCAAAGTATCATACCCCAGTTGTTATTCTAGCTTATTCATAGGTAAGCAAGAAACACAGTCATTGGTACTTACAAATATTCATAGATCATAATGGGCTAGTAATAATTTGCTTTGTTTCTTTCAGGCTTAAATGTTGGACCTGTTGTAGCAGGAGTGATTGGGGTGAAAAAGCCACATTACGACATCTGGGGCAACACAGTCAATGTTGCTAGCCGGATGGACAGCACAGGTCTTCCCAGCAAAATACAGGTTTAACATATTTGATTTTATGGTTAGCCTACATGTATGGGGGAGTCACCATGGCCGAGCGGCTAGACGCTCGCAGTGGATCGGAAGGTCATGAGTTCCCTCCCTGGCGGAGGTGGACTTTTTTCAAAAATGACCTTGGCTCCCAGGTCGACCCAGCCTTGAGTGGGTACCATGTGCAGTCCCGGCAAGTAAAGGGGGCTGGCGTGATGCTGACCACATCACCCATCTTGTGCCGATTGGTCTATAAAAATATAGGTCCAGCTCTGTATGCCCTATACCCCTCAAGGTGTGGAAAAGGGTCCTTTACTTACTTACTTTACTTCATGTATGGGTCTTATCTTGTTAAAAGACAGAATCATTCACATGCATTGTCATGATGGTTTCGCTTAACTACTTGTGTGATTTTGTTTAATGATTACCCACTGAGCAAAAAAAATTTGTGTAGTTAAAGCAAACTACAGCCACTAGATGCTGGGGGTTAGTTTGTGATGTCCTGAAGAGCATATGAAAATGATTGCACATGATATTGAAAGTTGGTAAATTAAAGCATTCAAGGCAGTACAATTTAATGCTAATAGAAAATATAATGAAATTTGTCACATACATTTTTAGGGAGCAGTCGCAATGTAGCAGCTAGACACTCGGATGTGGTCCCAAAGGTTGTGGGTTGGCATCTTCATGCCATATTTTATTTTTATTACTCTTGCTCATAAGTCGACTCAGTCTAAAACAGATATCAGATAAAGCCCTGGGAAATAAAGGTGGCTGCACATCACCCACCGAGTGCCAATTGGTCTACAAAATATAGCTCTAACACTGTATACTAAATACGCTTAAGGGCTTGAAACAGGGCCCTTTACTTTATTTACACTTATTTCTTTGTCCAGTTTCAACTTTTCAGTCTTTTTCAAATGAATTGTTGGAGAACTTCGATAATTTCCATTTATGGCTTAGAGGTTGAGTTACAAATTTAACACAAATGAACACAAATCTTCTTCTGTGTCCACCATTATAAAGAAAGCAGTCGAATTGTCTTGTGGTTTGCAATTATGCTGTATTATCTGTACCTTTTGATGCAACACTTCTGATGGCAGCTGATTCTTAATTAGTCGCCTTTTACGACATTCGTTTTTTAAGGGTTATATGTCTATTCTTTTTTTTTTTTCAACCCAGTTGGGGCCCAAAAACCCAGACTGAGATGAAAGCCATTATCATTTGCAGGATAAGCAGGGAGAAAACATCAAGCTGAAATAATGGATCAGGATATTCTATAATGTTGTTATATATTTGTGAAGGTTTATATATCAGCATTTAACACCCATCCTTCTTCTCTAAGTTTAGTCAACGTAGAAAAAGTCAGAAATAAATTATGCATTATTGTACAAATTTGAATTTGTTTATAACATTCTTTTATCAATGTCTTTGGGCGTTAACCCTTTCTGGACCAAAGGAAGTAATACACAGATTATGAGCGTTAAAGAACCGTTCACACGTTTGATTCATTGGGTTCTGTACCTATACTAAAATTACTTAGACTTGGTATCTGTTAAAAAAAATTTTTTTTAATCAATACATCGTTCTGTCCACACACACACACACACACACACACACACACACGCACGCACGCACGCACGCACGCGCGCACACACACTAGATTTTTGTGTGTATATATATATATATATATATATATATATATATATATATATATATATATATATATATATATATACATCATTATCATCATCATCATTATATCCACAGACACAACAACATCATCATTATAGCCACACGCACAAAAACATTCATATGTTTTAAAGAATTTCATGGTTTACTTGTGTCATGGTCATGAAAGGGTCAACTGATGAGTTGGAAGCTCGACAGATGGATGCAAGGTTAAGCAGTCATGTGCAGGACAGGACTATTCCTGGGTGAGCCCAGGATAATAGTATCATGTGTTGGTTCTGCATTTACGGAAGCTTCTTAGATGGGGTAAAATGTCCACCACCTTCCCTTGACAACTAGCTGTGTACAGATTATATCCTGAGGCCATCAATCAGCAGGCGCACAATAGAATACACCTGATCCAGAAGAAAACATTCCAGGCTAGCAACAGGACGGCCTGGATCATCTCTTGTGTGGGGATATGGACATAGGCGACATACTTACAACATTGACAAAGACTGGTCAGGATCGTGATAGCAACTGAGAACCTAATGGCAGAACAACAGTGATAACACCTACCAAAACAACATGAAGAACTGGTGCAGCAGTATCACCACAAATAGGTCAGGAGATAGACCAATAAGAGGCTGTAACGCCACCAACAGATAGCACAACGAGGAACACATGACCTAATTAGATCCAAACCTGCACAATGTGGCGGACATGTCCTGGCCACATAGACACACAAGACATAAAATATTACCACCAAACCATGCAATGAAATAACAACACATTTTGTTGCCATAATTATAACTGATATTGACAAGGACGAGGCTAGCTCCCTATCTAGAGGTTGCAAATGGCTAAATGAAATTGAATGAACGAACTTGAGGGCTGACAAGTCTACAAGCAGTTACCCTTGCTGGGTTTTGCAGGGGCAATGTCTGTAGATAAAGAGACAGTGAGGATACCTCACAAATAAGACAACGTCATGTCCCATGAAACCAACAGAAAAAGCTAACCCAGTGAACAAATTCCAGATGAAGTCAGTTGTTTCAGCCAAAAGGTGCAAATATCACACCTATGCTCTAAACAGGTACATACAATTACGTCACTAAGATGAATGATGAAAAAAAAGAAGAAGAAGGTGTCAACTGAAGTAATATTTTTTTTTTTTTATTGCAGGTAACCATGGATATGTACAGCATTCTATCTAAATATGGCTATGCTTTAACATTGAGAGGAATAGTAAAAGTCAAGGGAAAAGGAGATATGCAGACATACTTTCTTGACAGTTTACCACCACATGTGTCAATAGAAGATGTTCTAGTCCAGTGATGGAAAACTACTCATTTTCATTTTTTTATGCAAGCATTTATATCTTGGGATATGTTTATGTAGGTACCTCTGCAGGAATTGAACTGTTTATGAGTGTGTTCGAATCTTTAAGTGTAAGTTCTAAGTAGTGGCATTTATGTAAGTCAGAACTTCCAAAACTGTTCATATTATTGCTACACTGTTTTATCATAAACAATGAAATATTTCAAAATTCTGGAAGAAAACATTGTTAAAATGCTCAGAAGCTCTTACCTTAAAAAAAAAAACTAGAGGAAGAAAAGAAAAAGCAGAAGAAATCTGGAGTCTTGGTCAGGTTTTATAAAAATCAAGCGGATTGAAACCTATGACCATGAAGTAATCAGGCAAGCCTTCTAGCTCTTGCATCGTTGTGGCCCCCAAGTCACTAATAAGATGGATGTTGCATATTTAGAGTCATTATTTTGTACAAAAGTAATTTTTTGTTTATGTGACGCCCAAGTCACTAAGATATTTCTTATTTAGAGTCATTATTTTTTTTTCTTAAACCTGAGTTCTGTTGACACAGCCACAGAGTGCAAAGTGATGTCATAAGTTTATTACGACATCACTGGAACCAATAAATGATTTTATTTACCCTAAATAATACCTCAGAATAAAAATGGTTAAAGGATAATCATACCCACTTTTAGAAGATATAATCATTTCCATCAGGTCTACACACAGTTGCAGCTAGTACCAAAGCTGCCATATAAGCATACTGGCCGCTGCTAAAAGAAATCATGTCATTTTTTTTTCATTGACACTGTAAAAGTATAAAATCTGGTTTTGCTGGGGGGAAGGGGAGGGGGGGGGAGGAGGGATAAACTAACTCTTTGTTTCATAAGAGATACTGACACACATAGCATAAATTATGTTCATGCGACACATTGCAGCCGTCACACTACAGTGGTGGTTCTCAAACTGTGGGTTGCTACCCCTTTGAGGTTCGATTGACCCCTTTGCACAGGTGTCACCTAAGACCATCAAAAAACACATATTCACTAAAGTTATGAAGTAGCAATAAAAATAATTTTATGGTTGGAGGTCACAACAACATGAGTAAAACTGATCATCTATTAACTTACAATGCCTAGCGGCACAAAGCAGAAAATGGACACAAGAAAAAAGAAAGATTTTAAAGTGTCGGACAAGGTTGTTACATGCCTAGATGATATTGCTTCTGTAGAGTTCTTTATGTAAGCACCGAAGTCTGTACACTACTTTATGTACATTTTAAAATGTAGATTCGGTTGTTTATGTAAGTGTTAATGTTTATGTAAGTGATAATGTCCGCAAAATACTTGTTAGGTTGTTAATCAAGTCTTAAGAAAGGAAATGTGATGTAAGTAATTGGTGTAATTATTGTTCTTGTATGTATGGGGTTTGCTTATATAAGTATTGAATATATAGGTTTGTTTGTTTTTGTAGGCAGTTAAGTGTGTTGAGATTGTTTATGTAAGTATGTATTTAAGTCTGCTTGAGCCTGTTTATGTAAGTGTTCAAGCATCAGAGCCATCTTAACAGTAATATGGTCCCTGAGCAAACCTGTGTGCTGGGGCCTGTATGACAGCCACTCACATGAATGAAATGTAAATGATCAATAGTCTGGGGACCCTATTTCCATGGGACCTCCAGGCACATGCCCGGCTGGCTCATAGGTTAAGACGGCACTGCTATGCATGCCTGTATATGCAAGCTGTTATGTCTGACATTTCATCAATATTTCTTTGGTTTCTTTTTTATTTTTATTTTAAATTGAAGTGTTAACAGTTTTTGAATTGTTTATGTGAGTTTTCAGTTTTAAAAAAAAAGATTTAAAGGACTTTTTTTTTTCTTCATTTCTACATCAGGCATATAGTGTAAGGCCCATATTTTTGGAGCTCATTCAACACTATGAATTATGTGGTCAGTGTTATGCTGACTGCCTTTATTTCCTAATTCTTTTCCTGATACCAATTTTAGACTGAGAGCCCTATCAGTGTTTACCCTGATACTCATTTGAACTTGAACTCAAGACCTTTGATGTGACAGGCAAGCTGCCAGAAGTGCTAGTGTCTATAGTCTGTCACTAGAATTGCTTTTCATAGCTGATGACACTCATATAAACTCAGGACCTTTGGTCTGACTACTACATCTCTGATGTAGGTGATATTTTTTGGATAATGTTTTGTGGTAAGGAGATAGCATGCTAGTAGTAAAGAATAAATAGCTAACAATGGCTAAACAATGGGAACTAACTTCATATTGATTTATATAAAAATGTGTGTTATGTGTTATACCGTGTGTGATATTCATCTGTATATGTTTGTAGCTTATGTTTGAAAATATCTGAGTTAAGTTTCAAGAATCGGCAAAACAGCACTTGGGACATTCCCATAAGCACTCCACCCCCATCCTCAGCAACCAGAGAAGAATTCCACCTGTAAATAATAAACACAGTAAATGACCCTTTTCACACCAGAAAAGCGTGGGCATGGAATGCTTGACTCATATTTTTTAAAGACCATTTGGCATTTGATGGGTGATGTGACTCCAATAGAGTTTACTTCCTAGGCGTTCATCTGATACCAGTTGGAGGCTGGGTCGACCTGGAAGCAAACTTCATCATTGAATAAAATCCTGCTCGACGTGGATGTGAAGCCAAGATCTTTGGGTCGGCCCAGAAACACCTGGCCACTACGTTACCTCTTATATTATGTTTGTAATGTAGCATATGTTATAATGTGTGAAACATGATAAATCTATGTGATATGCTGTTATTGAAATAATGACATATAAAATATGTGGTCTATGTTGCCATATGTGTACTGTATGATCTGTTTGTGTGAATTATGTTGTGACATGAGTAAATTATTTATAAATGTTGGACCATATATTATAACAGGCATTATGTAAGTTATAATGTGTGGACATGGTGTTATAATACGCATTACTTGTATGTCATACCATACATTCTTTTATATTATAACGTGATGTATACTGCAACAGCATTGCTTTGTATATAACTTATGTAAAAATAATGTCCCAAATGTCTGTTAATAAATGGAAAGTCTGTTAAAAAGAACCCTAAACAGACATCACTGAATCTAACCCATACTGTACTCCTTGCGTACTCCTTGCACATGAGCAGATACTACATCTGCTTGAGATGTGGAGGCAAATGTGTCAAGTTAATGCTGAGATATATTAATTAATTCTTAATTGCTAATGTTTCCCATGTGGATTCCAGACAAAAAAGTGGGGAACATGCATTTTGGGTGGCAAAAATTAATAGATCCACTGCCCGCTAACAAAATTGTCATAAAAGTCAATCTATTATCAGTGTTTCTTCTGAAGTCGGAGCTCTTCCACCTCAAAGACATACTGATAAATGGTTCTGAACTGCTCAGTCAATGTGGTATTAGTTGCTATAATTTCCAGTGGCTACAGTATCTCATTAAATACTCACAATCCAATTTTGCTATGCCCCCTACTGGTGATTTTTAAAAAAAAAAAGCAGAACATAGAAATGATTATGATGGTAATTATTTCTTGTTAAAAAAAAAGTAAGTAAAGATCCCTTTTCACGTCTCTAGGCTTATTGGGTAAATGGGAAGAGCGCCCATATTTTTACAGGCCATTGGCACTAGGTAGGTAATGTGGTCAGCATTACGCCAGATTATTTCTTGTAGGCAAAAAATAAGTTTGAGATCATGTTGTCATAAATCAGATTCTGTAAACCAGTGTGCTGTAATTTGTAATATTGTTCTTTCTGTTGTAGTTCCAAGTGAATGTTTAATAATTTGATTTTCTGGATTGTTATCTGCCTGCCATTTCTCCCCTCCGGGTGACTACCTGAAGACTTGACAAAATAGTGTTAGTACAGTGTGTTCCAGCGTTGGATGCAATGTTTTTGTTGTTATAAAGTAACTCAACCTGTGGGTTGAACATCTTTTCCAGGACCTGTTCCCAAGTGATCCTCATCTGAATGGTAGCACTTTGTGTCACTGGGCGTTTATCACTTGGTGTGATGTCCTGGAGAGGGGGAGGGGGGGGGAGGGTGGGGGTTGAACGTCACACAAAACAGAAAGGCAGATTTGACAACCTGAGATTTCAACATCTCATACCAGATGGGCGACCAGTAGGACATTCCCATATACTACATTCAGCCTCAAAAGAAGTTATAATTGGAGCACCTTTAGCAGTTACACCAGTGGGTAAAAGTGTGATAATTCTACAATTTGATTTTTGTCTTCCTTTATACTTTATTGCTTCTTGCAACCGTATAATTTTTTTTTTATCATGTCTGCTGTATTAAACTATATTTGATTTTCCTGAAGTTAATCTGCTGCAGTCACAATCTATTTTGGTCTTCCTATTTGTTCTTCTCATCTGTCTTAAAGGTAGAGAAAAAGAAGAGGCGGTGGTCATAAACACTCGGAACAACTAAACATGTATTTATTTGCTTACTAGACAACTATATGGTAACGTACAAAGAACCAGGCATGATAAAGCCATATACTAGGCTGGCATGTTATGGAGAGCTCCTTCTTGAGTGCTTCATGGCATTTAACCCTGTAGCCCCACATGAGCCGGTTTTGCAGTATTTATGGGTATTTTAATATAGCCCCGGGACTACCCCAGAGTTCTGCAATTTCACTGATTCTCTTCAATGTGTAGTCAAGCAAGATTGCAGAACTTGAAGCACCAAGTGTTGGAAGGAAATTGACATTTGCTGTTGATGTTCTTGCATATAAGCAAGGGAGTGATAGACAACAGATAGCCCAAGAGCTGCAGGTAACTGTAGACAAAGTGACTGAGAAGTATGCAGAAATGGGTGCTTTCATCAACTCAGAAAACGCGGCTGTTTTGTGGTGCTCTATGGGCAATAGAAATGAAAGAGCTAATGTTCCAAGCCTCACAGTTAATAACAGAAACATCAAAAGAGAAAGCAAACTGAGGTACCCGGAGATCACTTTTGATAGAAGCCTGTCCTGTAGGGA